CGATTAGCTAGGTTCAGGATAATGCGTTATGGAAGGTTAACAACATCTAAATTTCTCGGGGGGTGCATGTTCCTGGACACGATTAGTGCTCGCGCTTCGACGTCCATGATTTTTGGCAGACAGATTACCAATGTTGAGTGCAAATTTGGGCTTTGTGGGGGGTTCGTACGGCATGTTAGTGCACCTTTTGCGTTTGTGGCTTGTGAGTAAAATAACTTTTGTATATGTATTTATGATATGATATTTATCATTTCTGGTGGGCAGGTTACTATTGTTGAGACAAATTTCAAGTACGTAAATGGACTTCGTGTGGGGTCCCTACGTCACTGCAGCGCAGTTTTTGTTTTTAAAAATAATGACCAACCTCTGCTTCGAGACAGCTGACAGCTGCATGGGGAACCCCATAATGGGATGGGATCAAATAACGTTTAATGAGGGATTGTTCATTATAACTTCAGCTGGTGGAGGAAAGGTTGGACATGCGTCAGGTTATTTCATACGGCCACACCAAGTAATTGTTATGGATGACGTCCACTGGAGACCTTAAATTTAATGTGAAAGCGCGATAAAAACATGAAGGGCCGCCGAAAAACAAGATGCCTAGATTTGGAATATACTAACTGTAGAAATACAAGTGTTAGGACCCAAATGGAATAAAAAAACAAAGTGTAACAAGTAACAAGTCTTCTATTCGTCATAAAACATCAACAAAACAGCAGTAGTCGCTTTGTTTTGATTCTTTCCTTTCATCACATCTTCGGTTGATTAATTTTGCGACACTTTCATCATATTCATAATACAGTAAGTAGAATTTCTTGTAACAGTTTTTCTTTCAGTATCAGTCCAAAATTAAAAACTTAGGGGGGGCCTAAAATGGCGACAATGCGTCTGTAAAATCAGTGGCAAACCCTTTCAGGGTGTCCGTAGCATAAAAAAGGAGTACAGAGATTCTTTTACTCTAGACCACATTGGTTATTAAAAAGTAAAGAATACACATGTTCATTTCTCTAAAACAATGTACCTCTGACGAAGACATGAGATCTCCGACCTCTAGTTTGTTTATATTTTCGTCTTTTTCGTTTTATTTTGGCATTCTACGACATTGGTACCGTTTTCCAATGTTTTTTTTCAACCTACGGTATATATTTGCTCATTTTGCAACTGTTTTGTACGATTTACAGTATGGTTGAAATTTTTTTTTGGGGGGGGGGGGAAACGGCCGAAAATTCATGCGCGGATGTCATCCATATACTAGTAATCAAATCAACACGGCCTTAGTTAAAGTGCACAGCTGTTGTGATGTGGTTGTAATTGAATGAATAAGAAAACCACTAAGTGGTTGTGATACAACTGAATGCAACTAAAGTGCTTCGAAGATTGACATGGGAAACCTGTTTTTTATATATACATATAGTGTCTTTGTTCATTGCTTGACAAAGAATTCCCAGAGATGTAATGGAGTGTAAGAATGCTGATATAACACAATTTTCATGTGTAGATGTATATAAATATATTTATATATATATATACATGAAAATCTACAACATGAAAATCATGGCTGTCATGTTTGTAATGTTGGTCTTACACACTCTTGATACTATATTCTTTTACTACAACAGGTTGAGTACATTTACAAGACTAGAAACATGGAGGCCTCTTTGGAGCGCCAAATCTCTGTGCTCGCTTTCTCATTTTACAGAGTGACCCACGCTGGCTGCTAATTCATTTGTGTCTCCTGTACTATTCAAAATTCTGACCAAACCAAGGACGTAAGAGAAGAGCTGTGGGTGTGCAATTAGGGCAAAGGAATGCAATATAGAAAAGGCGCACTGGAAAATGAAACAACAGCAATCATGCCCCCCCCCCTTATGTAATATCCAAGCAGATCTTTTGTTGGCTGCAAGACAGTATCAAATCGGCCAGCCAGTATCCATTTGCCAGACTGTTACCATTTGCCGCTCGCAGGCTGGCGTAAAAAAGATATCAGTCCAAAAAAGAAACCCCGATAAAAACGCTAAAAAACGTTAAAAAAAACTGGGCGATGCCTTAAACTTTGCTTGGATAGTCTATTTATAGCATTTCCACTCCCACCTTTGCTCATCTCAATCACATTATAATATTATAATGAATGCATGCTTCGCTGGTCAGGTCTTAGACACGCAGAGATGTTAACCAAATGTAGAGTACGCTGCACTGCTCGCAGACAGTAGTGCAAAGCTTGTTACATGTAGGCACCAACCGAGCTTGCACTTGATGTTGACAGATCTGCATATCAAGGGTACAAACAGCAGGCAAGTGACAAATAGTGTTTTGGATGAAAGGTTTTGATGGACGGAATGCATGAAAGAGGCGGTGGGAAGAAAAACGCGGCCATGTTGTTTTTGCTTCTCTTGGTAGCTGCTTGTGCAGCCTCAAATGGCCAGAGTTTCCCTCAGTGTAAGAAAGCTGGGTGGCCAGAGTGTGCGGCTTTCACAGAAAGGCCGGGGTTTGTCCCTGTCACAGGTGTATGTGTCGTGTGTGAGGTTCTGCATGGGGAAAATGCCTCTAGTAGTCCTTTCCCCTTTCTTACTGGGGTAAGTAACTTTGCCATAAGAGGATACCCCTTCCATGTCCTGTCGGCTACAAAACTAGCACCGCTCGAGCAGTCGGAGGTCTACTCTTTAGGTTTGCTTGATTCAAAGATCGCTGATGTGAAGAACAACACATTCTCTGGGTTTTCCAGACTTTTAAAAATGAGCCTAGATTCGAACAGGTTGACAAATATAAAGCAATCCTGGTTCACCGGCTTGGAGGCTCTCTTGGTGCTGGTTCTGTCCAACAACAACATCAAGGAGATACAACCAAGGAGCTTCGTGCATCTGACTAAGCTACAACTGTTGGATCTAGAGAACAACATGTTACAGGTTGTAGACCCTGCATGGCTCTTTGGATTAGAAGGTACAATGAACCTGAATCTGAGGTCGAATGCAATCAATAGCATCTCCCCGAGGTCATTCCAGCACCTTTGGCTGACTTGGATAGACCTGGTTGATAACGATCTGGCATGTTTGGACCGAGAGGTGCTATGGGGACAGTCGATGCTGTCACGGCTCCATGTCAGCAGTGGTATGTTATCGTCTGTCAACCACGCAATGCCGCGTGAAATGATGTGGAGGATAGATCGGCTAGCCAGTGTGACCAGAGGGTTAGTAACAATGGTCGTTGAGGTGCCTAATTTCCACTTCTGTATCAGGTACAATGCTTATGACCTCTCGTTTGGATGGATGTTTAATTCATCAGACAATACGGTGAATAACAACGATGTAAGCGCGGTGAATATCAACCCCGGTAGATCGTGTGGTGATTTGGACAGTTCTCTGAGCATGATCCCCATCCAGCCCCCTGTAGTTGTCCTGGCCACCGACGGCTCTCTGGCAGACAAACTGGACACCAATGTTAACACGCTTGAGCAATGCAGGCAGGTTTGGGAATACGATGGTGGCATTACAATGGTCCTGATTGAAAATTCAGTCCTCCGACTGGTTTCTATGGCTACAGGGAACGCAACCTCTGAAGGTGTTGCCATGTCGTTTGTCCAGACACAAGACACGAGCAAACCCACCACCCCTGGCACAACCCACACAAACATCACCCATGACACAAAGAACATCACCTGCATTCTTCTCACCAGAGGTAAACACACAAAGGTGTTCTTTACCGTTCCCTTGGATCAAAGTCAGACTCACACAACAGAAACCTCTTACAGAATCGGTATTAACCATTCCAGTAGCGTGATACACTATTCAGAAACTACAGAAAAAGGCGACACATCTTCAAAACCAAGGGACTACCCTACACTTGGTGTGGTGAGTTCCACACCTGGACCAGATCTAGAGGTGGCTCAGGCACCAGATCATGCTCTCATCACCTCAGTTGTTGTCTCGGCAGTCATTGTTCTCGTCATGTCGTTTCTTGCGGTGCTCACGTGGAAGGCGTGTGCAGCAAAGTTAGACGCCGAAGACGAGAGGGCAGGCGAGGATGCACACGTTTGGACAATCCCCCCTGGGGTTACCTTCCCCGGCTTGCTGAGGTCCGCTTCCCTCCTTCACGTTCAGACAAGATGGCGTCGGAGGACGCAGCATCTTGTAGGTCATTGCCCGCTGTCCTGCATTCTATCGAACCTACTTACAGCGAGATCGCAGATGACTTAGCTTGTGCTCAGAGGCCTCTACCTGGTCTCCCACAAGGGCCTGCCCCAGTACATACCTACAGTGGGATCCCAGACGACGTAGCTCGTGCTCAGAGTGCTCAGAGGCCTCAGCCTGGTCTCTCAAACATGCCTGCACATACCTACAGTGAGATCCCAGATGATAAAGATAGCAGACTCATGCCTGTCTATTCTACAGATTTTCCACTTCATGTTGTCCCGAACATGCGACATGACCGACAGCTCTTTGGGGACAATAGTCGCAGACAACTATCTGAAAGATCCATTGCCACATATGGACCGACAGGACAGACCAACGGCCAGCGCAATCTCTTCTATAGAAACGCTTCCTTGGTCAAAGGTATGAGAGCCCGTAGACAGCGCGAGGCAGCTTTGATATCCCAGACTGATGACCAAGGTGTGATGACGTACGTTAACGTCACAGGTGCTATCATGTCCAGACGTCAACAAGTCACAAGAGCCGTCCTCACACTACCTAAAACCTACTGGCCATGGGAGATCCCAGGGGAGGGAACCCGTAACACACCACGGCGTGCGTCCCTCCCCACCGTCACACTACCTAACACCTACTGGCCATGGGAGATCCCAGGGGAGGGAACCCGTAACACACCACGGCGTGTGTCCCTCCCTAGGTTACTTGATAACCATTTACTTTAATTTTTTTCAGGGTGCAACATTCGTGTGTCTGTGCGTCTGTAAACACGATAACTCAAGAAGGTTCGCATGGACCGTCTTGATATTTGGTATGTGGGTAGGTCTTGTTGATGATACCATAAGGCTACTAGTATTAAATTTTGGGCACCCTTGCCCCTTATTTTCTGATTGTGCTATCTCAACATGCTAGGGTTACGAATTTTGCATAATAGGAAGCTCTTTTTTGGCGTCTGTTAAAAGGAATTGGAGGAGGATAACTCATGAACACATGAAATCGTGATTTTTGGTTTTGGTTGAGATGCTTGATAGAATATGAAAATGGCAATTATTCAAGTCAGGATCCAATTCGCTTGATTAATAAGGTAAATCTTCAAATCTACTGCCTCCCATTCTATGAATATTCAAACTTGTAACATATTGAGAACTCGAGGAACATCAACATGTATTTACTTTTGAATAAAGACCTAATTTGCATAATTAATGAGAAAAAGCGGTAACTACCGCTGAGAGTTTTGTACATGAAGTAGTATATATGACAACAATCTGAATACAACTTGTGCACAGGTGTCCAAGGCATTCTCATACAAAATTTCAGGCAATTCTGTTTACATGCAAGGGCGCAGGAATCCAAAATGTGTATTTTTTAGTTTAAAAATAACCCCAAAGTCCAAAATTATACAATTTAATGCAGTGTACATATATTACCAATTTTCATCTTATTTGTGTTGAATATCAGGGCCAAAATGTAAATTTATGGTCAGAAAATGGCCAAAAAACTGGATAGAATATTTTAAAAAGCCTACACACAAAAAACTCCGGGGGCCAGTTCATGCCAAATTCGGGGTCATTTGGATGAAAAATAGCGGAGTTTAATTCATTTGACCAAATGACAGAATAACAGAGAAATTCTTTTACAATGGAATCTGTGGTTTAGTCTTGAGGTCACTATGATCCGCTCCGCTGGGAAAAATTATCATATTTTTCATTCCAACATTTCATGACCAAACATGGCGACGGCACACTCAAGTTATATCAACTTATTTTATGCCGCCACCAACACAAAGTACAAATACAGGACAGGACAATACTCATTTTCACTTGCTCAGTGAGGAAAGTCGTGTAAAGTGCCTTAAGCCACAACTATGTCAGAAATTAATAAATTTCATCTGCCTTTTACACAGCTATTGATCGCTAAAATGTCTAAAGAATTTGGTAAATTTTGGGAATTTTTACAAAAATACGTCTTCTTTAACCATCTGCTGCACCTCACTAAAACGCTTTGAGCAAATTTTTAATTATATTTTGTCTTAGATATGGATAATCAAAATACGTTGAAGTAAAAGAAAATCTGTTATTTTTGGGGGGTTATAGAAGGTAAAAAAAGATGCTATATTAAGCCCTTCATCTGGTGATACAGTTATACTTTTACTTTAAATTCTAAATATGATGTATGTGTATGTGAAAATTAAAAACAAAGAAAAAAAACTAAAAACTATCATGAAAGTTCATCTGTGTTAGTAGTAATCATAGTAAAACGTTGAACTTTATCCTGATGAAAGCGACAGTGGTCGCTAAAAATTTGATCTCTCTATAAACTATGTGTTGGAATAAAGTTCTATGCTTTACAAAGAAGAAAAAACTAGCTATAGAATTTATCTTATTCAACTAAAAGCTTACAGTAAGTCAAGCATGAGATGGAAGATTGGGTGGCAGGCATCCTTTTCTACATTTAAGGAGGGGATATGTTAGAATGAAAATAGTGAGTATACGTATCAAAAAGTTTCAAATTTTAGGATTACCAATATGATACCAATGGGATGTAAAACAAATGCGTTCAAAATCAAATGCAAAAACAGAAAAAAATGGATTAATGTAATAGGCTATATTTTTTAGTGTTGCGTCAGATCTTTGGTAGCAGTGGTATAGAATACTTAATACGCAATTTAATTACATTACGTAGCAATGCTTTTACAGATATACATGTATAAAAGTAGCCCATAACCAGTAGCTATATACAATGCCAACGGTAGCCAGTCGAATGTGGTATAGGCTATACTAAAGTTATAACATAACCGTTCAGAATTTTGTGAATGAATTATCTGCAAAGTCTATTATAGTATAATATTATTACAGTATAGTAAACAACAAGCTGAATTGTAGGCAAAACTGTATCAGGTGAATAAAGTAACCTGTGGTGTCGTGGTATATCAAATTCCTCAATTCAACCACTGTCAAACCCCAGACATATCAAACAATGATTCTGGACTGAAGCTAAATATGTGGCGTGTTGTGGTCTAGTATCGGGATCACCTGTCTGTAACTCATGTTTATATACACCTTGAAGACATCATCACACCTCTGGAAGACAAAGCTTTAACGTCTTAGCCTGCTCTTGCGAAAAGCTTACTAGTGTACAGTGGTAGTTTGAAACTCAACCTAGTTCGTGCATCCATTCCAAATGCAGAACTGGTCTGGTGTGCTACATGCATATTTATTCTGCATTGTAAGTGACGTGTTCGCATGACAGATACATACCAGCGACTAGATTGTACATTCAAGAAATCATGTATATACATTAGTTTCTGGGCTGCGATGCTAACATCTACCAGTTCGGAACTCACAATGCCTCCTTACCAGTTCCCTAAGTACAGAAATGATGGCTACGCTACGTGTATTGTATTGTATTGAATTTGCATTATATATTGTAGTACATATTGCATTATATATTGTAGTACTCATTCTCTTACCCCATGTACATATTCAAATGCTATTAGTGACCTATATGTGCCTGGACATTCCTGGGTTGGTCGGAATACTATTTTTTTTCAAGTTTTAGATGGGGTAAGAATGTATGTGCGTTGTTTGGTTGACCCTTGATATAGTTACTTGTTGCATGAATATCTGAATTAACATAACGTACTAAATAAGCACTATTCCAAGGCTTTCTTTCGTGTATCTACTAGTGCAATGGGGTGCGATTTCCTCACTTGCAATATTCACAATAAAGTCATGTACCAGATAGTAAAATTCAAACATTTCTTAACATTAATCTATGAACACCCTGCCACCCAGTATAAAAACACTGACCAGTCCACATCCACCAGTTGTACATAAGTTGTACATAAGTTAAGTTGTATATATTGACTTAAGTCATGATCGTTTTGTTTAACCTCTATATAATTTATGATGATTATGTATGTTCAAGAAATAGAAGTGGAAAACGATAGATGAATTGAAGAACACGTGGAACGATTTGTGTACGAAATGCCTCACTTGAATCCCATATTTCTTCAAAAAGAATGTGTATTGTTTTATTGCTTAGTTGTCATGGTGATCGCGAAGTAAACAACCGTTGCCAGCGATGCGATAATCCCGGGAACGAGAAGAGCCTTCGCCTTGCTCAGTTTCTGCAGTAGACGGGGAACTGTGGATGGGAAAAGTAGCAGAATATTCGTTATGAAGATAACCACTATAATGTGTACAGTTCGTACAAGAACACGATGGCGTATACTTCTGTATCAGTCTGAACTTTATAAAACATGCAACCATCAATAATTTACGCACCTTTATCTCTATCTTTAGACGATTATTATTATTATTCATTAATTAATTTTATCAATATTATTCAATAAATTTGGAACAAATATGAAAGAAATGGTTGGGTCTTTTTACAAGTTTTAGATCATTAAAAAATCGTAAAAAGAAATCTGAGATTTTAGTTCTCCTGGAAGTATGCGATTCTCGGCTTGAATTTCTCCATTTCGCGATCGTTCACCTAATTTCCAGACCTTTTAAACATTTGCCATTCTGCCTGCCAATCTTCCCCACACCCAAGTGCTGTCAACCTATATGACAAAAATAAGCACAAACCCACAGCTAGCTCAGCTACACCACAAAAAAAGTTTTCATAGTGTGAATCATGACAGCTATGCTGTTACCAATTGAGTCGTTCTTGTCTGACGGTCTCTCGAAATGAATCAGGCGCTGTCTGCGCAGGAAGCCTGGCCAATCAGGTGGCTGCTGTGGAAGAAGGATCTGCATGTGGTTCCAGAACCTGTGGATACGAGGAGTAAAAAAACACGATCTGTCAGAAGACCGTTCTGAAACACATCATTATTGGGTTTTGGGTATTAGGTTTCTTACGACACAACCAAAGACATTCTTCCAATAATTCCGACCCCCTGATGCTATGCAACTTGGGAATTTTTACCCTCCCGGTCGCTATGTATCCTGGGAATTGTAAAACGATGAATGCTATCCAAGAGAACATGACGGTGAGTACCATTAGGAGTGCATTGCGTGATTACAACTTCTGCATATATGTCTTACTTCCCACCCGAGTACCGATCGCGACCTTTTAAGTACAAGTATCAGTGTCTTACCTGAAGTGAAACGTGTCTGGGTTACGAGATATCCTGTTCTGAAAGCCGATGTACAGGTCGTCCCAAAACAGACCCTTCAGAACTGTCTGGCGGTGGACTCCGATCCGGTTCTTGATCTGGGTGGGATATATACACGCATACAGAATGTCCAACAAAGATATACCCAACTTTAAAAAGAAAATAACCAGGATATACTCAAAATGAACTCTATTGTGTGACGTAGGTCGTATTTCCGACCCCTTCACATGCTGGGAAAAATGAAAAACTCTGGGTAACTCAGGGGGACACGGCTACACAATACGCATGCGCCGCACATAAGTTGCTATGGTAACGTGTCGCTGCATGAGTTACCCATAATTCCGTCTTTTGGAATATGGCCGATTACCTCCAAGTACGCATGCTCCCTACTCGGTCGCTGTTCGGGGAAGCTCAGGTCTTCGAAATCCACCAGAAAGTCGTACCCTCCCTCGATAGGATGGAAGTCTTCATCTGTTTCTATCATCTGTTTACAAAATAGAATGGAACAATAAATCAATATTACCTATGCCTAAACTGGATAATTAACTACTAGTATGTCCGCCCACTCACTTTGGAACCCATACTTACAAACATAGCATCAATTAGCGCGACAGAAAACAATACTTCTGTCCCGAAAGCAAACTCTCTGTCTCATGGTTCTCTGTCACCAAAGAAACCAGTGTAGACACCAACACAATGATACGAGTAACAGACAGTTTAGCCTGACAAGAATTATTATCACGTATGGCGAGGTAAGCATGAATATGATTTTGGACGTGTACATATCCAGCCTTGAAGAATTGCTATGAGTACTAGTCTGCAGGCTACTTGTAATTGAGTCTACTGCCCATGTGTTAACCAATGGCATACTCACCCGCAGAACTAGGTTGTAGTCTCTGAACCCCGCCCACTCGTAGTAGAACCGGATCCAGTCTGGGAAGGCGAAAATCTCGCTTGCTATGCTCTCATTGATCTTGTTAATGTAGAAGTCGAAATCCCAGTTGTCTTTGTAGATCCTAGTTCCCGGGGGAGGATCCACAATTGCACGTCTGCAGGGAATAGTTAGGATATCGATAGTCAAGACCATAGCAAAAACTGTCAATCAAGTGAAATCTAATCTCCACCCACTCACTTTGGAACCGAAACATACAAACCTAGCAAAAGGTTACCGCACCCCAAACAATACATCCGTCCCAGAGGTAACATGTACATGTACTTGTTTGTTTCCCGTTTTACCTGCGATCCACGGTGTCGTCCAGAATGAGTGCCAGGTCCAGGATAGCGCCAGGTTTGGGTGTCCAGGTGATGATGTGGTCGGAATACCTGTTGATGAGAGAGTTCAACTGCTCCGCGCTGTTCTTCGTGTTGGTTTCACGGATGTACCTGGAACGGAGGGAGGGCTCGGTCAATCAACATGTATTTGCATGTCATTGTTCTGAAAGAATAGACAGCCAATCACGCTGCCCCTCGAACGTATGTGGTAACGTGATTGGCTCTCCCTCTAACAACGTAAAGGGACAGGAATGACGAATCACAGTACGGTATACGCAAGGGTTGTTGTTTGAGATGTAAAGGCGGTGTGCATGGCTTGAGAGATTAGAGAGAGAGAGAGAGAGAGAGAGAGAGAGAAAGAGAAAGAGAGAGAGGAGAGGGAGAGAGAGAGAGCGAGAGAGAGCGAGAGCGAAGAATTACATCTATGTATGTTGGGGATCAACCGCAGTCTACCTACCTGTCGCCAGGATACGCTTCCACGAAGTAGCCAGCGAAAGGACAGTAGACTTTGGGGTTAACATCACGCACTACTTGTGTTTTGTAGTACAGCAGCTTTTTTCGCTCAGTGGCAATGAACCTGGCCTTCCATTCATCTATATAAAAACAATAGTTTAAAGACATGGGCATCATAATAGATACATTTTTCTGAGTATATTAATCAACAATGAACAAGTGAGAAAACAACTCATAATTAGATTTTACGCGCGTCCAAAGTAGATGGTTGTACCTGTGTATCGTCCTCCACTAAAGGTCATAGGGAACCCGGATGCACCCCCTGCGAAGTCACTCATCATGATGTCCACATTCTTGGGCAGCTGCATACCGTTAGGCTGTGTGCAGTCCACGGTGTTCAGGATCAGGTGGCCTAAAACACAGAATCTTCTTTCTTTCTTTCTTTCTTTCTTTCTCTCTCTCTCTCTTTCTTTCTTTCTTCCTTCCTTTCTTTCTTTCTCTCTTTCTTTTCTTTTTCTTCTTTTCTTTCTTTTTCTTTTTTTACTTTTTTACTTTCCTACTTTCCCTCTCTCTTTCTTCTCTCTTTCTTTCTTTCTTTTTTCTTTCTTTCTTTCTTTTCTTCCTTGGGAGACAGAAATGGGCTTCAAAAAAGGTATGATCAAAATGTGATAGTAGCACACTAACGACTACACGCGTACACATTTACAGACAGAACATTATACTTAAATTGCCACAAACAAATAAATAAATAAAATAAATCCTGCAGCCCCACCCTTGTAGTCCACCAAGATGCAGGTGTCCATGTCAGGATGTACGCCGTCCATCAGGATCATGAAGCGGAGGTCAGCATTGATCTGTTATACACAAACATATCATAAACATAACTTATAACACAAAGCATAACTTATCATTTATTGTTGGGTGGTTCGCTCAGTTCTTTTTTCTTAAAAAAATAGTGAAAATAAAAAAAAGAAAAGAATTGCATACTTCATGGAAGTCACGCAATCATGAAAAGCAGTCAGGAAATGTTCCAGGTACAACGTAGAAAAAACAACCTCACCTCTTGCCACACACCAAAACTGCAGACGTTGATGTTGTTCAGTTGGACCCCGCTCTGCTCCAGCTTGCAGAATACCGGCATAGCCGTGTCTCCAACGTAGATCGGGATGTTTGGGTTCTTTTCCGACAGCAGTGCTAGAGTCGGGTAGCTGGCAAAGGCACAACGTGTACATGTACAATAAGTTAGCATTGTAACTCCCATATACTCACAAAATTCTCAATATGTTGAAAGCACAGCATGTCAAAGATATCTGCAGTACATTTCAGGTAAGATAAAAGTAGAGAGAAAGAAAAAGAATTACTTAGCCAGGACAAAAGCCCATTGCACCGTATCCATTCAGGGAAATAGCCCGAGCGCCCACCAAAATGCAGGAAGCCTCCTGAAGCTGCATAAAGTCAGGGTGATGCGATGAACAGTTATAGACACATTCCGTTACAATATAAGTTATTGATGATTTTCACACGTCTCATAATGCTTAGTGCTGGTCATGGCGCCATGACAGTTCTCAGTGCATCATGGGTAACTCACTTTCGAAGCAACCACAACCTAACGCTAAATTCAACTGGATAGTCATCATTTTGTAGACTGTAACCTACATAGGCTTGTAAACAACTTGCCTACATATGTGACCAAGACTAATAACTTTGCCAACTAAGAAGACAAGAAGAAGAACTGGATATCTACTGAAATGTCATCATGTCACTTTGGAGTCTACCCGCTTCTTACGTCATATCCTCGACCAGCACTAGGCATTATGGGAAGTGTGAAAATGATGAATATCGCAGTTCTGACTGTGCATGTGCAGCGCGATGCATTGTGGTCTAGGTCAAAGTTCAAGTTCCTTTGGCTACTAGGTTAAAGGAAAAAGGAAGGACTGAAGGACAAATAAGAACATTTGACTCTAACCTCAGATGGTCCGAGTGTACGTGACTTATGTAAATGAGGTCAGCACGTGACAGCCTCTCCAGCCAATCAAAGGGCGGCTCGTGCAGAAGCCACCACCCCCTGGCGAAGGCGGGTCCAGTCAGCCACGGGTCGAAAAACATCGTCTTGTCTCCCAACTTCAGCTCCATACACGCATGCGCGAAAAACGTCAACTACAAATAGAAATACACATCCTTACATCACACAACTAAACTAGTGTAATCTGTTAGGCCGCACCAAGTTATTTTATGGGGGCCTGCATGGGGGGTCTACGCTGAATTCTGAAACCTCTTGATTACGCTATACGATAAATTCCAAGTGGCTACAACGCATTACGTAGAATTAAAACGGCGAATACGCTCTACGCAAAATGCGCCAATTACGCTCTACGTTGAATTAGAGCGGTCCGTCTACGCTCTACGTCGAATTAGAATTAAAACGGCCCATTACGCTCTACGGAAAAGACCGAAAAAAAACAAGTTATCTAAATTTGAAATATACTTGAAATATACAAAGGGACGACAAATGTTAGGACACAGTCTGAAGTCTGAAGACAACAAGGGGCTTTTTTTTACCTGCACTTCTCCGAGTCGGATAGTCTGCGGGCGTCTCGCGTCGTTGTCCCACGGTTTAGGCGGAATCAGCTCCACCAAGGCTAATCCCCCATCTTCGTCTAACTCTGGAACTGGATGCGAAAAAAATGAGAATAGTGCAAATGTTTGAATCAAGAACTCCGTTCAGATGTACATGTACATACTGATGTATACGATGACCTTTCGCGTTAAAGTAGGATGTCTAAATCCCTTTAAGTACCATTTAAGTATGTTCATAACCCTCCTCCGACCACCAACAAAGGTTGGCTGAAGGTGATTCATATCACTATCGAATTTGAGTCAAATTTTACCCCCGAACACGCCCCGAGGACTGCCGACCTACTCCCGAACACTAGCCATATACCAGCCAACCATGGTCGAACCTCCCGTCTGCACTAGAATGTTTTAAGCATTTTGAAACAATCGACTAGGTAGCCTGGAATCCAGTCGTACGTGATTGGGGCTGTTGGGTGTTCGGCCAGGCTGTGTCTTCGGGGCTCTAATAGCTTCCCCCGCCCAGTACAACAGGTCGACCCGGTAGGAGTGTTATGCTAATACTGAATAGAGATGACAAACTTGGGGATTTGATTTGCCCCAACACGAATGTCGTTCGTGGCAGGGCTAATCAATCTCCCATCGTGAAATACCGGGAAACTGAGGCGGGCGGGAGAGGACCCCCCCACCCACCACGTAAGACTGGATACCAGGCTATCGACTAGGCGACCACGCGGAACGCCAGCCAAACTCAGTCGACCTTGCTCCCGATCTACTCCTAACGGGGAGTTTTACCCGGAGGCCATATTCGGTTATGTGTGACAGGGGCTTTGAAGAGGGCCTGCAAGCCCTTTTTCGTAAGGCGTAATCAGGCCTTTTTAACCTTCCTAATCCGTAGGCGGCCGTCCAAAATCATCGTAATTCGTAATCGGTACATTAGCCGTAACGCGTAATTGGTCGTTTTTATTCTCCGTAAAGCGTAATTAGTTACTTTTATGCGACGTAAAGCGTAATCCATGAGATCATAAAAGCGTAGGCTAATTTCAAAATGGTCCAATTCACAACCGATAATGCCGTCCAGTCAACACCGTTTCAAATGGCAAAGGAAATTAGCCGTAACTCCTCTAGATGTGGCGTGACCTGGTATCCAGTCTTTCGCGCGCGAATTCGTGGTTGGGGCGGATTTTCTTCGGGGCTGCTGAAACTATTTCCCGCCCGCCTCAGCTAGGTTCCCCGGTAGGTTTTTCACGACGGGAGATTGATTAGTGGGGATAATCTGAACCCCCGGCGTGCCAAACTCTATCATAGGCGTATCTTCTACCGGGCGGTCTGTTGAGCTGAGCGGGAGGAAACTATTAGAGCCCCGGAGACAGCCTGCCCCAACCACGATAGACTTGACACCAGGCTAGATGTGGCGGGCCGTACCTAACTTGTCCTGTTTGAAGCTGTCCGGAGGGTTGACATACTTCATGCTGGAGGAGTCTAGCTTCCAGCCGTGCTTGGTGCATCGCAGAATACTGCAACAAAAATATCGTTCAGTTATATCGGTTGAAGGTTAGACATCTAGGTAATGAGATACGCAAGGAATCGATACTGAAGCAACTGGCAACTTACAGTTCATAGTTTTTGGGTGGATACCCGTTCAACGTCAGATTCCGTTAATATTTACTGACGAAAAGTAGTGGATGCTACTTGAAATGTTTGAGAGTTTTCCTAAGTTCTCCAATTGCGTAACAATTCCTATCGTGCAGCTAGTCAGAAGTACACGCTAGAAACTAAAACCCTTCCGTGGATAGTTTTGATAAGTTGATAAATACTGAGCCGACATTTAGCTGAACTGTCTGCCATCTTCCTCAGGCAAGTGACTGGTCATACTTCGCACTGCAGCTAGGTGTCGCTGCTGCACTGCGAAGAATCATGACCTCAAACGTTAACGTAAAAAAAAGTTAACTCCAGGAAGCGTAACGTTGTAAATGCATGTATGATATTTATTTCTTACCTGCAGGTGGAATCTTCCACATCTCTAACAAACGTGCCGCCTTGATGCTTGCAGATGTTTCGACAAGCCTTGTACGGTTCCTCGGTGTTCGCTGGATCCTATGAGGAATGCATTATTCTGGTGTTAAGATAAAGAAAGCAAACACTCTTTATTCTTGTGGTCATTGTAGAGACGGGTGGGTCGGACAGAACTAACAAACAATTGGATATCAGCCTAAGGCTAGTCTTATCACACAGGTAAACGAGCTCAAACAAGCAGCCGACTGTGAATAGCTCCTGTCAGACAATTGCCTTCAACTATTTCCAACCTTCTACAGACCATGGTTGGGAGTCAGTCGTGAGCGAGGTCGTCTGTGGTTGGCAGTATTTTCTGGAGGAGATTGGCTACTGGTCGTCTGCGCCAGCCGAATGTTTCAAGATGGTAATTAAAATCAAAAGTGGCTGTGAGACCGTGAGATGTTCTGTCTAGACTATTTTACTTAAAAGTGTTGTGAAGCGGTAGGTTGGCAGGAAGTTAGCAGTAGTTGTAGCATGGTTGGGAGTCAAACGTAACATCACTTGTTTCCCCCGCACATTGCGCTATGGATATGACCTACGTGGGATTTGAACCCAAAACCTTTAGATTCTACAACATTAAAAGCACAAAAGCAACAGCAACAGCACAAAAAAAAGTTGTAATACGAATACAAACCTTGTAAATGATAAAGTTGCCTCTTTCCTTACAGATCAGGTTAACCCCTGGGACCAAGGCAGTGGTTTCCCCGGCAGTTAACCGTAACACTTCCACGCTCCTCTGTTCCATCTTCGCCCTGCAAAGAAGTTATACCAGAGGAAATCCGTTTTATTACCTCCATGATATTGATTGATTGGGCGGAGAATATGACCAACTGATATAGTATATGCAAATAGGCTCTTATAATTTGCATATTCGCAGTGAATGTCAGTTTGGACGGCAAACGTGAGTTGGCAAATGTACGTATGTCAGAGGTCATGCTTGCATACATGTATAACCAACAATATCATACGTTGTCCATGTTAAATGGTAAGGATTTCACCAGTGTGTTGCATGATACTAAGTAGGAACTATGTGAATAATTTGTATGAATGAGCAGGATTGTAAATGTAGGCCATTTACAGGTGGTCATAACCATGCATACGATTTACGAAAGCACTAAACATGTCATGGAGGTATGAGATCGCCGAACTCTAGTTTATTTTTTCTTTCCTAGAACTTGTAAACCATAACTATTTGTCACAACGTAGCAACTCAACGCGAGTAGGAAGAAGGGAGTAGAGATTACAATCTATTCTTAGTGGAGGGGTTTTAGGTTTTGATATTTGATCAAGGACAACTTGCTATATGCCTCTTCATTTTTTTGTAACTACTCTTTTCTCCAAAGCATTAGATAAAGGGCTTAAGACAAGAATCGTTTAAACGACTAATTTTGATAGTGATAAAGAATTCGCAGTTCGCTGTTGGACCGTGTAAGCTGGACGTAAGAATAAGAAAACAGAAGTCATGTTTGTACTCACCTATCTGTCACAAGCTTAAGAACCCTCAAAATATTGGCCAGAAATGTCTGGAAAGGTTTCCGTCAATCCTTGATTTTCCTTATACCCCGTCACTACAGATAAAGTCTATGGGCGCAAGTCTATTACTGTTTGGTCCACCACAGTAAAGCGTCAAATGGTTCCACCTGTTTTATCTGAAATGGCCTTCTGGTTTCTGAGATGCAGCAACGCCTGGGGAAGAGAGTAATTGCGTACGTACACCAGAAAAAACTGGTTTTTAGTAGCCCTAGGCTACTTTTGTACAACTGTCTTAGGCTACTGAAAACCAGTTCTTCTGGTGTACGTAGCCCTTCGTCACCACTGTGTCTAGCAATGTAGGGCAGGTATCACAGTTATGGTTGGCCATAGAAACCTATGCTTAATTACACTAAAATAAGTCCCCATGAAAGTACTTTATCACATTTCAATCTCAAACATTCTTCTGCACCAGAGAGCCACAAGAGTCTGTTTCCCAAATATAGAAAGAAAACCAGGGGTTGTCCAGCTCAAACTCTGACAACAGCTCACAACAGTAAACAAACCCTTATTTTGACCTAATTGCCTTAGACAAGAAGGCTATGAAATCACTTTGCTATAGTGTGGGAAACTATGCGGCATAACTATTGAAGGCATTGTTACCTCCAGTCTCGGAACTCTTGTTTATTCTGTTTCTAAGACGCTAATTGCAGCTAAATACATCTGTGTATGTTCATCATCGCATAAAGAATATACCTGTGAAAGATAAATAAAATCCATTCACAACGAAGTGAGACACAGGCTTAAAATTAAAAAAATCCACTGCAGTTCCAAGGAAGATGCTAGAAGTCCCAAAATCATTTGCTCCCATCCCCAACAGCTATCCCCTGCTCAAAAATTATTCACCTGTACTTGTGTAAAATTTTGCCTCAAATTTTAACGTTATGCTGCAATATCTAAAACCGTCACTAGGAGTCCCATTATAGAACTTAACCGTCATTTTGCTGCCACTAACCGTCCACTAAATATCATTAACAACCATCCGCGTTTTCTCAAGTTTATGTGGAACCAAAAAAAAAAAACCCAAGTACACAACTCTCCGCAGCAACATAGGAACTTTTCCAGCTTGAACTTTGTTCTACATTGTATAACCGCTGCACATCTACCAAATATCATTGAGATACATTCACAAATTTTCGAGTTATCCTGCATACATGCAATCGACAAATGACACAAAAAATCCCGATACAATATAACGATTAAAAAAAGCTAAGATCCACATTTTTCAACTTGAACTAC